CAGCCCGTTTACCCGAGGTCTCGGGTCACACAAAGCGGGACCTCGGTTAGGCGGGCCAGCTCGGTTCTCATATAAACGCAACATGAAATTTAGTAGGAAATATTGACAAAGACGGGATCCCGCCTAAAGCGAGCTAGCTCAGGTCCCGAGCTGGCTCGCCTCATATAAACAGCCCCTTAGTCTGGTTAGATATCAATATATATAATAGTGTTAATATACATATTTAGAGTCTAAATATGTTGCACTAGAAATAAACGGCCCCATTGCTTAATTCATGGAGGCAGAATTGGGAAAAAAAGGCTAAAGGCAGCCGTATATGAAATACGCATTTCCCTGAGGCTGACAATTTTTGTACATTCAACTGAAAATTTTTATACTTAACTACCTACCTATCTACATTCTACAAGTTTTAAATATGATAAACTATTGAATTAAAAGTATTTTCAAAGATAAATCATCGACAGTTTTAAAGTGAGCATTCAGTCTCTGTTTGGCAGTGTCATGTTTACATTGCAAAAAGTTACTTTTCAAAATTTTATCAATCTTCAATAAACAAGACGCGTACTATTAGTAAATCGGCACAGAGTATATCAACGTTTGCAAACAACAAATCTAATGGCATATTTTAGAAACAGATAGAAGAGAAAATATAAAAACATTGACGGCGACTGACCGGTTTGATATCAGAATATGTAGTTGAGAGAGAATACCCAACTTCAAACTTTAAAGTATACAATTTTATTTGTTTCTTGACTTGACTGTTTATAAAACGCTACAGTGTTTTCGTAATTTAAAAGCAAACAGAAGTATAAAATAGAAATTAGCGGGGGCTTCGAACTATGTATCGTAAAATCCCACTCCTGGTATTAGAAATTTAACGTTTTTTGTCTGTGGAAGCATGTAATTTGACACTTTGCCACTCCCCCTTGGGCAATTAATTTTTGTAGAGTCACGTGACCAGACAATACCAGGGTCTTTCCCAAAATGACCCTGGGTACGAGGACGCAACAAATACGACACAATACATTTTCTAAATACATTACAGGAATGCCCTGCATTGGCCATATAGTGTTCTTTTTACTTACCTTGGCAAAGACTTAAATTTCCTGCATACGCGCTATCACAAGTACACAGAAAAGAACCATCAATGTTGATACAGTTTGAGTTTTGGTGACAGTTGTCAATGGATAGAGAACATTCATCGATATCTATAGATATATAATAAATAGTTGACAATTTACTTTTCTTCCAAATAAATAATTTCTACTCCTTATTTATATATGCGATCATTTTGTTCAAGGGAATAGAAAAATCAGATTGTTCATTTACCTTGGCAAACAGTTCCATTTCCAGAATATCCACTCTCACAAGTGCACAAGAAAGATCCATCAGTGTTAGTGCAATAGGCATTAGAATGACATGTGTCAATCGACAGTGAACATTCATTGATGTCTACATAAGGATGAAAAAAAACAGACATTCGTCAATGAGTGAACTTTTAATTTATGTTTCTAAATATAGTATAACGTGCGAATACGTCGCGACAATTATTTCCAATTGTTTGTGCAATTGGCAAAATATGGTGGTCGACGTATTTAATAATAGCGCCGTGTGTCCAGGATCAAACTTTATACTGGTTTCTTAAACTTTCTTAGATAATTAGCGTAACTACTACGTTGAAACCATGTGTGTGTTTTTCTTTAGCCGTCCGTTTTTAGAATTCGACTTTTTGTCATCCTTATAAATGCGAGAATAAGTCGATTAGATTTAGCCAGGGCAAGATGAAAAGTAACTGAAAATGATAAAAATGGCTGTAAGGCGTAAGAATTCTTAATGCATTACTCACCAGTGCACGTCACGCCATTGCCAGAATAACCATAGATACATCTGCATGAAAAACTCCCGTTGGTGTTGATACATAGCGAATTGTCGCCGCAGTTGTCCAGTCCTCGCAAACATTCATCCACATCTATATACAATAATCAACAAGGAGATATAAAGATCAGTAAATCCTTGTTTCGGCACACATTCTCCAAAATTTCAGACTTGAGAATCATTCAATTTTTCTCATGGGAATAATACCCATTTTCCATCAGGCAAATTTGTTCGCGGGAAGAGTAAAAAAGTAGGAACTGTCCAACTTTTTCGCAGCTAATTTTTTTGCTGACTAATCACCTTGCCAAGGTTTGTTTTTCACTTTGCTAAACACGAACAAATTCGCCTAGTGGAAAATTGGTTTAAATCGTCACGAAAATATATCGTGCAGGGGCCGGTTGTTCAAAGGTGGAATAGCTCTAACCCTGGGTTAAAATTAAACCTGCTGTTTTAGTTTGTGTATTTCTGCACGTCTGTTTATTTCAAAACTTCACAGTAGTAAAATTCTATCGATCCTGACAAGATCTCTGAAGAAATATTTCCAAATTTATAGACAAGCTGTCAGGAAGGTTTCTTTGAATTTTAGATTAACCGAGGATTAAGTTAACCCAGCTTTGAACAACCGACTCCAGTACCTCAAATCGATAAAACCCGAATCTAATCCTTGTTGGCTGACAATTGCAAAGCCAAGGGAAAATAGTGAAGTATTGGAGACTTGAACTGAGGAGCGACTTCAATTCACTCTGCATTCAACTCTGGTTGGTAATCTCCAATGGGATGTGCGAGAAACCCTAATTTTAAGAACTGGTGTATACGTCGATGTTTCTGTTGCGTGGCACGCATGGTGGTACAGCATAAGACAAACTGGCCGACATTCCGCACGACAAAATACATCACAATATACAGAAAGAGAATGCGTTTAACTCGGTTTAAGCTAAGGTAAACAGCTGAATTTCAAAAAATTCAACATTTAGTTGTCAAATACAGAAGCATCAAGAACAGTCAATGAACTAGCTACTAGAAATACTTGCATGCAGCAACTACTCGCCTATGTTTTCAAAACATTGATTTAAAAAACATGAAGTAGTAGAAATTGGCCAGTACTAAATGCAGATCCGCGTGATCATTCTTACATTTTTAAAAATATTATATTGCTTTGTTCAACTGAATGGCAAAAATATTGTCAAAAATTAGTATTTTAACTATATAAACGAACAAACGAACGAACGAACGAACTTTATTTGACCACCCTAACCCCGTCACCCAAGCTGATTTCCACAGGGGACATGTAAACCAAATTCTAAAAGTGAGATATTTAAAGTTATTTTCAAAATATTAAGTATATAGTGTCGAAAAAGAACGATATTTAAAGTTAGTTGCAAAGTGGCAATATAGTGTCACTCTAGTATCAATATATAGGAATATAATTTAGAAATAGTCTATTTACCTGGTTATTAATATATATTTTGTTACGATTGAAAAATGTGAGTAGCAATTTTCTTCCAAAAATATCAAAGGGATTTGATCGCTCCAAACTCGTTTGGAATAAAATTCAACAGATGAAATCCATCAAACATGAAACTATTTTTCATGTTAGCATGGTTGTGGTAAACAAAGCCTACTTGAATTGTTCCTAAGTTTACTGTTTTTCACGTCATTTTCGTATGTATAGAAAGATCAGGACACATTCCATTTAAAATTTTAAACATTATGTTTGCTTTTTATCTCATTATTTTAAGTGGCTCTCAGCTTAAGGCATGTAAAGCAATAGAATGATCTATATCGTTGATCATACTCGTGATAATTCGAGCAGCTATATTTTGTTGTAGTTTTTGCATGCGGTTTTGATTGTGTCTCGCCAAACACATCCCAAACTTCACAACAATAATCGAAGTATTGGCGAACATTGTCGTTATAAATAAGTGTGTATATCTCAATCAACAAAAGATTTGATACGACGAAAAGCAGAAATTCCTGCTGTTATATTTTTCAAATACTTTCAGCATTACTCTTCCAAGATAAACGCTGGACAATTGTTACTCCAAACGTTTTGAATTCATAAACTTGTTTCATTGGTTTATTTTTAATGGCAATATTTTGGGGGAAATTTAAAGTATACATTCCATCTTTGTTTTTGTGCTAATCAACATAAATCCTGTTTAATTAAGTTTATTGCCTATCAACTATTTCCTAAGGTTTTCCAAATCAGAATTTACTGCGCTTTTATTGCATGTCAGTTTTCGAGTTGCCAGTTGTGTCATCAGCAAATATTCTAGGTTTGTATTATTACGACACCGGCTGAGGTAGATCATTGATATATAATAGAAATAAAAGTGGTCCTAAGATAGAACATTGGGGTACACCACAAGTAATGAATGTTCTGATGAGATAAATCCATTGAATTTGGAATTTCTGGCTTCGGTTTATTAGCTAGATATAATTTTAGTAAGCAAGGAGTGTGCCCTTTTACTCCATAGGGGTCTTATCTTTTCAATACAATTTGGTGATCAATCGTATCTATCAAATGCTTTTTTCAAGTCAATGAAAACTTGTCAACGATATTCTTTTTGATATACCCTCACTTGTTTGTCTTCCACGAACGGGATATACAGAAGTCATGATTAGCCATCTAATTTATGAAATGAAAAAACTTTCTAAAATCATTGGCTAAGATAAAAACACACGCTAAAATCTCAATCAATGATCTATTAACGTATTCCAACTACGAAAAATATGACATCGAAGGAAAGAAAGCCTGGGAATATGAGAGCTTTCGCATAGCGAGTTCGCCGAAATCCTGCTCCATGCTCTGTTATTCATAACATCATATGCTCCAGCATCTCCCAGGCTAAATATCCAACCCTATATAAACATGCATTGGTCACCCCCGTGCCTAAAGTGTACCCACCTAATGACATGGACAGTGATTTCCGCCAAATCTCAGTATTACGGCAACTGGTTAAAGTCTTAGAAATCATCCAACTTAAAATTAAGCAAAGGGCACCTTAAGATCAAAGGCAATCAACATGCATTTATACACGGTAGATCGACAGTATCTGCACTGGCGTGGATCACCCAAAATTGGTGTCCACGTTTTATTTATCGACTTTTATAAAGCTTTTGATCTGGTGGACCACGGATTGCTTTTGATTAGGAAAGCTCGCCAAAATGAACGTGTCCAAAAGCTTCTGACTATGGATACGGAGCTTTCTGGAAGGGAGGAGTCAGCAAGTAAAATTGGGAGGTGCTCGGTCAACTATAAGGCTTTGCCCTTCGGGAGTCCCACAGGGATTGTTATTTAATGCTCATGTAAATGACCTCGAAGACTGCATTCCCAACTATCTGGACATCAATATATACGCACAAATATACCGACGACTGCACTGAAGAAGAAGAATTACTCGCTGGGGCACCTGTGCCCAGGCGAGTATAGGTTTCGGCATGCATTTGTCACGGATCACGGATAGTGGATAGTGGATCTCCAATCGTCGATAGCCACAAAATAGAATATTAATGAGCTGCCTAATTTTCCCCCAATTATCCATAAGGCTCCTGCCAATTTTACCCAAATTATCTATAAATGACCTTGCATTTTGAGGAAAATTCGGGAAAATTGAACAATTTTACAAGGAATTTCGACATGGAAACAGCAACCTTAGCAAATTGCAATCGTTCGTTTGGCTGCGCTGTTTTATATTTTGAGAAGAAAGCGATCTTTTGATTCTTTTCAACGATCCTTACGGTAAGTGAATGTGATTTAATTTCAATTACGCTCAACTCGCATGACTCTGCACCTATTCGTGGTAGACCTACACTAAAAGATGCTGAGCAATTTCGAACCGGGTCGATTATTACAAACTCACAATCAAGTTTCTGTACTGTCAACGAGCACTTGCACAACATGGCCGCCAGTAGAAAGGTCACAAAGAACACAGACAATGCGATATCTTCTGAACATACAACAATCAAGAATTTCTCAACACTTTTGAGCAAAGATGATATGGAAAACAAGAATGTGTCCACAGATCAATGTATGTCAGGTAAAGATATATCTAACAACTGTATTTCTAAATTGAATAACCAGAATATTGAAATAACAGGTCTGTCAAAGCTCAATCCTATGCGTGTAAAGAACGTTCCAGTGCGATCACGATATGCATTATTTTATAACGTCTGCACACAAAAGCATGTTACTGACGTTACTACCACTGGTTGCCATTTACGCCACCGTGACCGTAAACCCAGTAGAATACAGGTGAAATGGTTAACTAGGAAGTTTGGAAAAAGTCGATTGTTGAGAAAACGTCTCAGACATAAGATCAAAAGGTATGTTACCAAGATCGTCTCATCTTCATTATATAGTAGAGAATATTATGCATTGTCAAGACATTAGGATGAAGTGTATCCCTGATGTTTACTGCCCAAGGAAGGTTCACAAGAAATGCCGGATAAACCGTCCAGCAAAAGATTTTAAATTCTATATTTGTGAAGGAATTCTTGCAGATATATTCTATTTATCAGGTTCGACTCATGATTCATATGCACAACAAGTATACAAAAATGTCAACCATTTAAAGAATGTCTGCCAGTCAGTTATTATTATTATTATCAAAACATGGACGAACTGCGTGAACGTAGCAGGCGATGGGGAAGGAATCAGGATTTCATCAAAACATGAGCGGGTAAATGTATTAAAGTTTTTTGTTTATAATAAAACTAATGTATATCATTTTGGTTTGTGACTATTTTCGAAGACAACACTATTTTTAATTCCTGTAAAGATTCATATAGTGCACAAAGCATCACGGTTCACTGTGGTTCTTTAATCAATAAACATTTTTGAAAATAATTTTGAAGCAAATGATATAGCGATAATACAATTATTAAACGACGTTTCGATTCTACAGCGGGCATCGTTTTCAAGTTATAGTAATTATATTTATATTGCGTTGATCTTAATTAATTAAACCGTTCGTGTCACGACGTTAGCAAATTATTGCGCAATCATGCAAAATTTAAATTTATATTATGTAATAAATTCGGAGAATTTGATTGCTGGTATTTATAATTGTAATTGCAACTGTAGGGTTTATGCTGCAGATTTGGAAGGAGTTAAGCTTGACTTATTCACGAGTCAAAAGAACCTAGAAAATCTTGAGGCAAAATTAGAGTTAGTCAATGAAGTATCTGTAGGCAAGCAAGATCGGGTAAATCAACTTAAACTCGCACTTTCTCTAGAGGAAAAAAAATATGCTCAACTAAGTTCTGATTTGGGCTTTCTTGTTAGTCAAAGAAATATTGAAGTTGACGATTTAAATACAACAATAACTTTCCTACTTGAAAGAATTAAAACCGTCGAAGCATTAAACGATCAATAAATTAAGGCCGTCGGTAAAGAGCATAAATATGGAAATAAAAGATAACTTTAATCCCATTCAAACGAATGATAATCACGTTAATGTTGCTAATGAGATATCCACACAAAAGTCTTCCCAACTAAGTTTTGATTTGGGCTTCCTTGTTAGTAAAAGAAATTAATATTGAAGTTGACGATTTAAACACAACAATAATCTCCCTACGTGAAAGAGCATAAATATGGAAATAAAAGATAACTTTAATCCCATTCAAACAAATGATAATCACGTTAATGTTGATAATGAGATGTCCTCACAAACGTCTGCCCACAGTTTTAAAGATCCAAGTCAGGTCAATCGTTTAACGGAGCGTTTACCAGAAGTAGGGCTGTATGATAATATGACAGAGCAAGAGGGCGAAAGTAAAACGAAACGTAAATTGATTGATGGAAATAAAGAATGGTTGGGACGTTTACCTCTGATCGAAACCAGTACGATCAGAAATCTTGTAAAATAACCTATTTCTCATACTAGAAATGAGCAACTACAAAATCAGGCTGAAAGGCAGTATAGACCAAATAAAGCAAATGAACAACTACAAAACAATTATTTTCGGAACCGCTTTCGGAATAGCCCTCCTCAAGCGCAGAATCGCCCGAGCAAATCGTGTCCGGGCCACCAGATCAATGCCGCCTACAGCACCAATCTTCCTTGGTTTCGGTACCGAATACAAAGAAAGGGGTCAGAATGGATCAACTATCTGAATTTTGTGCGCCGGGTGATGGTTTAATTAATGGATCGCTGTGTGAACGTAACAGTATTCCAACTACAATTACATGTTCGTCACGATACAGCCTATCTGGATGTCTATCTTTCCCACGTTCTTTAACAAGTTTCAGAAATATTGCAAGTTATAGTAACATACGTAAGCGAACTAGCAATCCATGCAACTTGGTAAATGTCCCTGTAACTACTAGTAACCTGAAAAATCGCCGAGACAACTGTTGCTGTTCCATCTCTCTTTGTTATCAATGCCTACCACATAGCAAACAAGGTGGACGAACTGTCTGCAGTGGTTGCGATAAACAATTCCTCTGTAATTTTGGTTACAGAATCCTGGTTATCGTCTGGTATTCCGGATTCTATTATTAATATAGCAAATACTTACAATTCATATCGACTCGATAGACCTACGCCAGGTGGTGGTATCTTGGCATACATTAAATCTGACCTATACCTGCTAAACACCTTCCTGAACTAGAAGAGGAAGGAAAAGAAGCGCTCTGCATGCATGGCTATTATTAGAACCACTCAGAACACCGAGACCCTACAGTTCCGTCATTGTAGTAGGCGTATACTATCCTCCAGGTCAAAGTAAAGAGAATGAACATGAGATGCTGGACTACCTAACTCAAAAGATGGACATTGCTTTAGCGAAGCGCTCTTCTGCCGGCATATATGTAACTGGGGACTTCAACAAGTTGGACGTGAATCCTATGTGTCGCCGTTTTAATCTACGGAAACAGGTCAAGTCGCCCACGAGAGGAAAAAACATTTTGAACCAGATACTTACCAATATGTCGGATCTGTATGACGAAGTTCTTCACATTTCCCCTATCGGACGTTCCGATCACCAATGTTTGATTTTACCACCCAAAACAAGACAGAAGATGCCCGCCGTTTCAGAGAAATATCGACAAATGAAACCAGAGAATTAAACGCTCTGGGATTGAAAATGAATCTTGAAGACTGGGAGAGAGTATATTCCGAATGGGATGTGGATGACAGGTCTCTGTCTTTAACTCTGTCGTCATCTGTATGCTCGATGAAACCATACCCGTGAGAACAGTTCGCGCACACTGTACGGACAAACCGTGGATGACCCCCAATATCAAAGCGTTGATATATATATATATATATATATATATATATATATATATATATATATATATATATATATATATATATATATATATATATATATGAAAATGAAAATAAGATGAAAATGATATATAAGATGAAAATGTTCTAGAGTGTGTATTATACAATTTCCATACCCAGCGCAAGCAGAAAGATGTTGTCTGCCGCGGCTGGGTCTTGAACCCGTGACCTTTGAATTACTAGATCGACGCTCTACCAACTGAGCTACATGCACGGTCAGACGGATTTAAGATTGGAAATTATGAAATATATACTGAATGTCATAAACATACTCGTTTATATTAATTCAGCATCGAACAATACTAGTTCTGCAAGTGTTATGTGAATTGTTATTATTATTTCATGCACAATTAACATAACACTCGCTGAACTAGTATTGTTCGATGCTGAATTAATATAAACGAGTATGTTTATGACATTCAGTATATATTTCATAATTTCCAGTCTTAAATCATATATATATATATATA